TCTCAAAAAGAAGCAGCTTGTTTTTCCATACGGTTCGACTCAGCAGGTCAGTGAGCGTCTCTCGTGTGTGTGGCTGCTCGCAGCAGCGGTAATGCATTTAGCTAATGGCAGTGATCTGATAACAGGGTGTGCACCGCAGCAGTGTGCTGCCTGGGTATTGTTTATAGAAGGAGGGAGTGTCCCGGGTAAAGACGAGCTAATCCCCTTGAGTCAAAGAAAGTCAGTCTCACCTTGACGACTGTTACTCTGGGCAGAGCGTCTGGCCCGTCGCTGCTGAGGCTCATTAATTCTGGTTTAATCAAACTGAAGAATCAGACTACGTATTGGCTCTTTTATCTTTTACAATTATTACATGTACTCAAGAAGTAGTTATTTCTGGGATAAAGATGCTTCTTGCACTAAATTTGGAACATCAGACCTCGTTTTGTGCATGCTTCACCTCCTCCTCCTCCTCCTTGTTCTTCTTGTTCTTTGATGCTGAATATTTTTAGTATAAAATGTATTCTGCAGAGGTTGCTGGCTGACTGCAGAGCAGCTTTGTGCAGCTGTGATTAACACAGGATTATAGAAACCCTCATGAGGCAACAACCTGGTCTCTTCTATGTGGTGCAAAGTGACACGATCCATGATTATATTCAATTAAAAGGATGTAGGGAGTTAGAGCAGAGACAAATTTATATAACTATTCTGCAGTTAAAGTTACTAAAATAAACACAATATGAATTTCTTGAAGGACTGCAGGTCATTCAGATGCACCGATATGAAAATTTCAGCCAATATCGATATCTGATATAACTATTGCTGTTATGGCCGAAAACCAATATTTACCGATATTGCACAAACACACAAATTATATTATACCTATACGCACAAATACACTTTAATTTAACACCAACAGTGTTAATTTAACACCCACAGTGCTAATTTCAACACCAACAAAGTGTCTGTATGTGTCCACACTTGCTGGTGTTGAAATAACATTTGTGAAAGTGCTAAATTTTAACACCTTTTTTTTTTGTTAATTTAACACCAGCCGGTGTTTAATATTCAACAATATTGAGTGTCACATTAACATAAAAATAGTGTTAGTGTTAAAATATAGTGTTAAAAGTAACACTAGTGTATTATGGCGTTAAAAATGTTAACAGAAGCCACAATTTTACATATGCCAATACGACATTCTAAAAAATGACCAATATCAGCCGATACCAATATTAATGCAGATATATCGTGCAGCTACTACCATATCTAATTACAGCTCACGTCTCTAAAATTGACTTAACTTAGTTTGGCTTCAGCCGTTAGGGCGTAGACATACAGCCAATCAATGGTTTCTGAGAGTTTGACTCAAATCTGTTCAGTGATTCAAGAGAAATTTTACTAACAAACAGGGATGCACCGATACTGATATTAATGCCGATATATCGTGCATCTTTAGTGCCAAAGTTTTAAGGTTACTTTCGCACAAAACTTTAGCTCAGTGTCTGTAAAATCGGCTGAGTTAGAGCCATTGTTGTGTTTGCTGAGGTTGCTTCGATGTGGTGGCCATCTTGAATGGGTTGACTCTAAAAGGTAATCAGTTGTAGTTGTCTTCTTAGAGTTCCAGCAGAATCTTTACTCTGGCTTATGAAGTATTTCCGTATTTGTCACACATGGGTTTCCTCTGTGTACTCGTTACCCTACTTGTTACTCGTGTGTACATGTTAGGTTCATTGGTAACTCTAAATTACAGGATCCCTCTAGGTGTGAGCGGGAGAGTGTGTAGTTGTTTGACACAGTAGTCTGTGTGTCCCTGTGATGGACCTGCAACCTGTCCAGGATGTTGGAGTTAGTGGGTAAAGAAAATGTATTAAAAAAATGAAACCATCCTAAATGTCCAAAAGATGTTTGAGAAGTAACTGAATGAAAGTTTTGGACGCAGCTACGACTGCCAGCCACTCCGCTGGTTTCAGCTTACTGCACGTCTTCCAGGAATCTTTCCAAGAAATCAGATACGCCTATCGTTCGTCCTTGTAGGAAACGATTATGAAGTCACATGACTTGTCAATTTATATTCCATCAAAAGAAGACAAGTTAGAAAACATCAGGTTCATATTTTGGCAAATTTGACAGGAAGTTCAATTTAAAAAGCCCTGCTGTGTGCCTGAGGCTCTTTCTATTTCTGTCCCAGTTTTTGATCTCGATATGTAGTGTGTTTAATAAACCATTTAAGCTTATTTACGAACAACTTGGCCTGGACTTGGTCTCCATCATGTCAGACTGTACATATTTGTCACTTGTCACCACGAAATGCAGACAATAATGTAAGTACTTCTCTGTGTGTGCTTTCCTGTCTGTTAGCAAAATATTCCACAAAGCAATGGAAGGATTTAAACAAAACTCTCAGAAACTAATCATTGGATGCACATCTACAACTGTTTAACTTTTGGAATCAACACGATTCAAGATGGCCGCCACCGCTAATCAACCATTGCAAACACAAAAATGGCTCCAACTCAGACAGTTTTAAAGATATTCAGTTAAGACTTGAAATTTTCATTTGAAACGATAAAATTTAAGGTGGCAGTGGACATGACCTCCTTGAAATAACTCTATGTTGTGCCAAACCTCTTTATAAAACATTACATTCTTCATGGCTGCAATCGTCATAGTAAGCCTATTTGTGTTAAAATAAAAAAAGGTGTTCAGCCAATTTTAACTCCTCTATTTTTATGTGTTTTTTATGTTGCTCAGTGTTTAGCAGGTATGTAAAGCTGTGATATCACTAATTCTTTCAAAGGAACTGAATCATGTGGGAGAACAAAGCGCACTGCACAGACATGCAGGCATGAATCATGTAATCTGTCTGAGGGTGAGATCACCACCACACAATGTTCTCTCAGCATCCAGATGATGAAATCTGGCTTTGCAGCCACAGGTTGGCTTCCATATGAATTCTGAGCGTCTCATCAGATACTTAAAATAATCTTTGTCACCTCACGTCTGCTGACTATCGTCTCGTCTTTGGTATGTTTGAATGATTCGATCACAAGTGAGCAGAACGTCAGCTCTGATTAATCTATTTGCATAATTACGCACATGCAGAAAAAGCTGCGTTCCTAAGCATGAGAAATGTGTGAAGCTGATTTATGACGGGTGAGCTGAAACAGGCTTTGAAATGTTTCCCAAACCGCGCTGATGTCGGGTAGTTAGCTACAGCCTCGTCTTCGAGTTTTTAATTTTTGTTGATGCGTTTTGAAGAGACAATTTTTTAAAAGAGGATCAAAGTAAAACCCGAGTTTTTCTAGTGATCCCTTAGATAGATAAGCTGCCATGAAGAACATCTGTTTAGTTGTACTTCTTCGGTTTTCAAGACAAATGGCCTTAAGTTGTTTGTCTTGATGCTTTGATGTCTTTCTTGGTCTACCAGTACACTTGGCTTTAACAACCATTCCATGCTGTTTGTATTTGGTCCATATCTTGGATACAGCTGACTGGGAACACCCCACATCTTTAGCAACCATGCGTGAAGAGTTACCTTCTTCAAGAAGTTTCACAATATTCTTTTGTTTCAAGAGACATTTCTCTTGCTGGAGCCATGGTTCTTGCCACTCCACGTCATCCAGCAGCCCTCCAAAGTGTCATGACTGCAGGTGTTTTTAACTGCAGACTAACGAGCAGATCTAATCTGAGGCAGGTGTCAATTTAGGGAAAGGAAATTGACTGGTTGTGTCTTTATTTTCTACCTTTAATTTGAGTGATTCCATACTTTTTTCCTCAGAATTGAATGATTCCGTATTTTTTTCCCTATGCTTGGTCAATAAAAGTAACATTCACTGACTTCCACAATGTTTTTCTCTTCATTTCTTTGAGTGATACTGAAAGCCAATAAGTTGCACTTTGGAATGACCTTATTATTGTATCATGTTTTTGATCTGAGGTTGTTTTACAGAATGAAATGTCTGAATGAGTGCTCATCCAAGACTGGTGATTCCATACTTTTTGCAAGGGGTTATAATATGTAGCTTACAGGACAATAAATTGAAACTGGACATACAAGATCTTTTAGACAAAGACTCAAGTGCTAAATCATATTCATTTATATTTAGATATCTAAAAAAGACCAAATTATTGGAGAGAATATAGTTTTATTTTATTTTATTTTTTTACCGACTGTTTATATCGACTGTGGTCCACACTCCATTTCAGTGGGTGGCAGTAATGCACCTAATAGTTGTTTGCCAACCGCCATTATAAAAGAAGAAGAAGATGAATAAATTAGACAGAAATATCTTACGCTCGGAGAAGGGGTTATCTACGGAATCAAAGTGGGCGTGTCACAAGAGTGGGCGTGTCTAAACCATAAACACTGTGGGCTACGAGGCCTACATGACGGTATCCTTAGATCCTGCTTGATCTCTTTACAGCCTGACCCTGACCCAAACACTAAGGTTAACCAGGAGAAATGTGACCCAAGTAGGGGTCTCCAGAAAAAGTGGTGCCGTACGGTATCACCCCTTTTTTGCTTGTCCAGTCAGGTGTGTCCCTTTAACATAGTCCGTCAAATCAGGTGTGTCGCTTTAGAATCGCCTTTCCTTGTGACACGCCCACTCGTCCGCAGAGACCCCTACTTGTACGCTCGCGCTGCTAAAGCGGATTTAGTATTTACTACATCAACATGGACTTGGACTCTATGAAATAAGCTGATCTGCGAAGGCTCGCGAAGGAGCTCGGCCTTAAAGCAAATGGGAAGGTAAGGAAACAGTTTTAAAACATGACACTGGTGCTAATGGCAGTGGTCTCTGTCTGTTTCAGTAATATGTTTATTCATTTATCAGCACAAATAACTGATTTGAAAAAAAAAAGCCACAGTGACCGATTTCTTAAACTGTGCAACTAATAAACAAACATTCGTCATTTTAAAGTGCTATTTTTGAGGAAAACAAGAAAAACATAAATCTCATAACTATTTTTATAGAAACGTTTTTTTCACAAATACAAAGTCAAAATCAGTTAAAAATATATGCTTGAAAATGTTTAAAAACCTTTTTCTTTGGATCTTGTGCATCTGTGAAGCAGTATCATATTTCTCTAGATTTAGCATATTTAAATTAAGTCCGCCTATTATCCATGCATGGATGCTTCATTTCACTAGACTATAGGATGCCTTCATGCCTCCTTGTTTTCTTCCATTCTCAGGCTGATAAAATCCAGAAAGCAATAAAACATCAGCTGAAGGAACTGCAGGTAACAAACCTGCTCTTGATCTGTATTATTTTGAAAGCAGTGTCTGATTATGTGTATCATTAATAAGCATGCTGCTGTTTTGCCATTTCAGGGGCAGGAGTCAGGATCATGTTAAAGTGCAAGAAGAGGATAAAAACCAAGTGTGTGAGGACAATGTTCAGGCTGAGGAAGATGCTGTTTGCAAAGAAGCAGCTTCTAACGTTGACATGTTTGTAACAACATGTCGAGGGAAAGAAAATGCCATCAAAAGAAAACTCAACAATCCTGCAGCAGACTGTGATGCAAAGATGACCCCAAAGGTACTTATAAAGATTACTACATTTCATTAAATATGCACTATTATTTTTAATACATGCCTGCAAATGTGTATTTGCTATTTGATAAAACCTTTCAAAAAAGATGTGTGAGTTGTTTACGTTTACAGCTGCTTAGCGTCTGGGGCCAAACTAGTTTAAGATGACACACAGCTAACTGACCTTCATTATCACAATATGCATTCCCTCGAGGAAGGCTCGACTGTTAATTTCTTTGTGAGGTGTATAAGCTCACACAGCTGTCTTTTCTTTTAGGGTGATGAAAAGGTTGATGCACAAAGCAAGCCCTGCAGTGCACAAAGAAAGAAGGAAAAAGCTGTCCTCTGACAAGGAATCTGAAAAAACTGGATTTGAGGCCCAAGAAAGTGGATGTGACCAACAGCATGAAGCACCTGCAGGTAGCAAAACAGGTCAGGAAAAAAAGGTTTGTGGCCAAAGTGCTGATGGAGATTTTCACACATTTCTTAATACAGAACCCCAAAGAGCTCAAAAGCTTTAAAACTGCATCAGATGTTAAAGTTACATGCAGGTTAGTCCCACTCCCCTGAGAGATGTTTAAGAAATGGAAACATGAGACAAACTCCTTCAAACTGTCCATCTTCTCTGTCCAAAATCTAAACATTTTGGTCCATAGAGGATTGTCCCTCACCTTGATAAGGACAGCTGACATGACACAGGCCCAGTTAGTCTCATGTTTGGAGTTTTATAAATGTGTTTTACTTAAGTTTTTCCTTCTGTCCTCGTGGAGACTTGTTGATAGTGTACAGCTTTTATCTATAGAGTTTGGGTTCCAGTGGGTGGGGAGAGTCGAACACAAGGTGCTCACACTAAAATCTGTGAGTTTGTCTCCTGTAAGCCTCAATTATTGAGACTTTCTTCTCTTTTTATGTGCAACAAACAGTCCAAGAAAGGCAACTTGTTGTTGTTCCTCTACAATGAACTTGTTGTTGACTAGGGGTGTAACGATACATCGATCTATATAGATTTGAATGGTTCATGATTCAGTTATATCGAGGCAAAAATAAAAAATATCAATATATATCATCATCATATGCTTGATGTGAATCAATATCGTGTAAAATGTGCATATGATATTGCATTGTATCGATCGCTGACGTGAATTGAATCAAAATCATATTGTGACAGACTTTGTGATATCGAGAAATATTGAATCGTCATACAAATATATCGATGTAATATCGTATCATGATAAAGCTGGTGATTTACAGCCCTACTGTCGACAGTGTTGACGATGTCCTTTGGCGAACGCTGCTTTTTTTCTCTGCTTGGATTTTGACCCATATATTGTCCACGTATTGTCCTTTGTGTTGGTACCCTGAAAAAATTTGGGGCTCACTTTTCCTTGACTGATACTCGGTCAGTTTCACCCTAAAATAGGGACTGCAGATGTAAATTAGCCTTAGGCTAAATCTGGTGCAATGCATCAAATGTATTTATGTTTTAATTGCACATTGTCCCGAGTAAACAAACAAATTCAATTCAAAAATACTTTCATTCTCTGTGAGCCAAGAAGACAAAGACCCTACAGACTCTCAGGAGGGGGTGCAGCGAGACCAATCTTCATGTGAGTTTAGCTACTGATGATCTGATGCAGTTTAAAAACTTGTAGGTTTGAGAAAGCTCCTCAGATGGGAATGTCTTCAACGACCAAACAAAAATTTAGGTTTCTTCTTCTTTTTTTTAATTTGCATGTTTTCTGGGTTTGGGACTAAAGATGACTCTGATGGGACTAGGTGTTCTTACACACTTTTAAAAAGTATGGATTTGATTTGAATATTTTCCATGTCAGGTATATTTGAAAAAAAGAAAAACACATTCCAGAAAAACATCAGTGTTTCCAGACTCTATTACCGATTGCATTTTCTTAAAATTAAACTTTTTCAAATGATGTTCAAACAAGCTGGATGTCTTCTTAAAAAAGAAAATGTTTTGTTCATAAATTAACAAAAATGTGGGGGTTTGCTAATTTTTAGAAACTGGAGACCATTTTTATTCTGTGACTGATGGATTTGCCAGATCATCAAGGAAACTTTACTTACTAAGCTGACAGACAGTAACAAGCTCACATTTAATGAATTGGGTGACACAAATCAGTATAGATCTGAGCAAAAAGAAAAGAAAATTTACTTTTGCAGTCATGTTGATATTACATTCACTGATTTTGCAACAATGAATATCCAATATATCCCACAGCCTAAATGAAGTGTCTGGACTTTCAAAGATGTAATTATTTATGAAATGTGTTACTGGTGATTTATTTTTGTTGATTTCAAGACTCTGACAATTAAACATTAATTTTCAGGAAAGGGACCAAAAGTGTTGAAAGGTGGCAGAACCCCTCGCTACCAAAGGCTCCAGCAGAAGAACAAGACTAATACACCAATTAAGTTTTTTTATCCGTCCATCTGTCCATCCATCCATCCGTCCATCCATCCAGTAAACAAATCATAGAAAGAAGTATTTATTTGTGAATTGGTTTGATTTTTGTTTATTCTATCTCTTGACCAGACTTTAAAATAAATCCACGAGGCTCCGTTCAACAATATTGAGTCCATTGAGACTTATGTTCAGTGAAAAACAAAACAGAAGAATACCAACAGAAACTCGGTCAAAGACTTGAAGGTATTTATCGTCTGAAGGGGAAACAGTGATGATGTTTTTTCCAGTGTTGTTTGGCTCTTTTGTCTGTGGCAAAATATTTCATGAACCAGTGAACAGATTTTAATGTAACTTGCCGAAAATAACCACTGTTACTGACAATTAATCTTTGGAGTCAATAAAATTCAAGATGGCTACTAAGGTTAACTGACCTCAGGTAAAAACATTGTTATAACCCAGTTAATTTTATAGATAATGAGCTAAAACTTGGTGTGTTGGTAGCTAAGGGTCTACGGAGCCCAACCAGTGACATTGGATTAAAAAAGTTATCTCATGTCACATGTTATTATTTTGTGGCCACGAGATAATTATTGCAGTCATTTACATGTAGAGACTGTTGATTGTTTACATGGACAAGTTTGAATAAATTTCATTATATTTTAATATAGGAATGAATGACATACTCTAGTCTGTTGTGGTTAGGCATGAAGTAATTCTTAGCGCTACATATTGCAGCTATAGGCCTGGAGTTGGATTTGTCCAAAAAGGTTTTTTTTATGAAGCTAAACTCACAGGCTCCTCTTTCATGCTGTGCTTCTGCTGTGGAAGAAGTCTGACTTATGGTGCAATCAGGAACAATGTGTTTCCTGACATTCACCTTGGGCGCTCAGTGCCATCTAATAAATACAGTTAGGTCCGTATATATTCAGACACTGACACAAATTTTGTCTTTTTACCTGTTTACTGAAACATATTCAAGTTATAGTTATATAATGTACATGGACATAAAGTCCAGACATTCAGCTTTCATTTGAGGGTATCCACATTAAAATTGGATGAAGGGTTTAGGAGTTTCAGCTCCTTAACATGTGCCACCCTGTTTTTGAAGGGACCCAAAGTAATTGGACAATTGATCCCAAGGCTATTTCATGGACAGGTGTGGGCAATCCCTTCGTTATGTCATTCTCAATTAAGCACAGCGTTTCCCCTACCCACCAACGAGACGACCCGTCCCTCCAAGAATTTCACGACATGTAGTCATTTTTATTTAAATATGGCCAGATCAAGTCGAGAGCTATTTTTGCGCCCCTCCATATCCACCTCTCGTCAAACTGGGGGTGGGGGTGGGGGGGGCTGCGCAGAGTGAGGCTTTGAGCACTGCGGTCCTCACAAAGATAGAAAGAAATGTACGTGTGTGTGTGATTGTGTGATTAGACGCACGATGAAAACTCTGCTTTTTTTAATCACGTAGCACAAATGCGACAGCTTTGCAAGCTACTTTTTCTTTCTTTTAAAGAAAATGCAACAGGTGAAGCCACAGCATGGTTACCTTATCAATAATTACTTTTATATACAGTATTACAGCAAGAATCACCAACACAGACCCTGTGTGTGACCAGGTTCCCACGAGTCCGTTCATGTTCTATAAATAGCGCTGATTAGCAGCGCAGCTAAAAGCTAATGTAATGTCCCTCAACTTTTAAAAAATTAACTAGAATAGTTTGTGAACTCAAAACATAAATCCAGACAGAATGAGCTGCTGTCTACAGGTCATACTGGACTCAAACACCGAGCTGAGCTCCTCTCTGACACACATACACACACACACACACACACACACACACACACACACACACACACACACAC